AAAGTGTTCAGACTACACTGAACCTCAACTGGCTCCATAGGAAAGTGTACATGTAAACTGAGTGACATCATCAGGACATAGGCCTATCCTACAGGGCATCAGAGGTTTTAAGGAGTGAGTCCTATTAATGATCAGTCTGTCCAGGGACACCATTGACAATCTAATCTATGATGTCTTACCATTGTTCCCACGACAGCTGCTATAACTCCCTTTGTTTTCATCCGGTTTCTTACATATTTCTCTCTGGTCAAGGTGAACATTGAGCGTATACTTTCAAGTAATACAGACTGCTGAATCTTGGAGTTCCTCAACTGAGATGTTTGGAAAGGAAAAAATGTTTTCACAACTGATTAGTTTTAATTAGAATTATAATCTTCCTATCTTAAAATAATTTTATCCATGAAAGACCAAGTCGGCAAATATAAATAATAAGTCGGTTAATGATCATGGCTTGTTCCGTACTTGCAAGGATGGAGGAGCAGGATCTATTTTCTGCAGTCAATACCATTTGTTTTTTTCCCAGGTAATAAGAAAAATCCAATTTCAAATTTAACGATCCTCATACCAGAAGGTTTTCAAAAGCAGAATTCAACTCTTGAAACTCCCCAACTGTGGCTGAGAATCTGGCAACAAACCTGCAATTTACAGAAGACGCAAGAGAAGTTGTGGTTACATCATTTTGAAATCCTTCCAAACACTATATGAATTCAGTCACGTGGATGCTTTATGTTCAATTTAAACAGGAGAATGAGCCATTCCGTATTCAAACAGCACCTGCCCAAAAAGAACCACAAGCAACCATGATGAGGTCTGCCCTATCAGCTCTGCGGATGCCGACTCCCACATGTTGTAAATTTGTTCTTGAATGACCTTCCCTGTGTGAAACACGAAACTTGTTCAATCTGGCTTTGTCATGGCTGCATGAAAAGAGTGTTCATTCATGCATGTAAAAACAGAACCCTTATCATCCAACTTATAAACAGAATGAAACAATTGAGAACCAAGGTCTTATGAGACGCTCAGTAGAGCAATCATTGTAGTCCCGTGTGACTGGCATACTACTGTTTGCGTCACATTTGAGCGATGAGCATGCTAAAAAATCTTCCACTGGAGCTGTACAAAAGAACTCTCGGTGTCAAGCCAGTGCTGCAGGAACCAGAATGGTTCCCCACCTCCTTTCACTGTGTACTGCAGAGGAATGACAGGGCTCAGACTGTCTTTTTTTTAATGTATATTAACAGCTTCTTTGTCCTGACAACTATTCCATAACCTCCTTGGCTCACTTTGAAGAATCTGAAAAGGTTGGGGTCCAAGACAAGGACGAGAGCTACCATTCAGAAAGACACTACTTACCGGTCACTCTGTATGAGATGACCAAGAACGTCAGCGGCTAAAGGACTGATGGAGTCTGCCCGTGGATCACGCAGGAAAGTCAGCAGACTAGTCAGTAACCTGATGATAAGACCATCAATAACAAGTAGAGGATATTAAGTTGAAAAGACGCATGCAATTTATCCACAGAGGCCATATACACAAACATCTTTCCACACTAAACAAGTGCATTAACATTCATGAATCCATGCGGGCTATTGCATTAAATACAACGGATGATTGGACCAATCCTGCAGTAGATAAGATTCCTCCATTTTTGGACCTGGTACAACTACCCCAGACATGCCAGAAAATTAACAAGGATACGTGCAACCGTGCTACTGGTTTTTAACAGATGGCTAGCAGATGGAGTTCATGTACACAAAGGGCATTCATGGGTTGAGCCGATACAGCAGAAATGCAGAATGACTTATACTTCCATGTCACATGTCTACATGTACCTAAACACATTAATGTGTTGCAACAGTGCACAGCATCCCCTTGGGTTCCTGGACACCGTGTAAAGCAGACAAACACATCGAGACTGGATCTCACTGGAAGCACTGCTCAGAATATTGACGAGCAGAGAAGGCGTAGTTGGGACATTTATAAGGTGGACAATATTTTCTTCTGCAACAGATGAAAATGATGTATGAGAATTACTTGTTAAATACTTTTACGAATATCAAATTTCAACCCACTAAAACTTCTTTACAAAGAGAGTCTAACAAGATCTGTGCCTGATTTTCATCATCTCTAATACATTCCTCCTTAGAAACCATTACTCAGGGGGCATGACACTCACAGGCAGGAGGTAGGTTTGCATTGTATTCCCCTCAGAGTAATGAGGTGCGTTGACTTGTCAAAGGAAGTGCATGTTGCAAGAATGCAGGCATGGGTTGCCACAGCAGTAATTGGGTCTCCTCAGATTAGTACGCCTAAAGTTGAGGTTGATTGAGTGGGTAACCATAAGGAATTCAAATGGTGCTGTTCAGACAAGGATATATAATGTGAAGAGTGTACGTATTTTAGTTGAGTGTGGTTTGTGTTCTCTTCTACCAAATGAGCTCTCGTCACTTTCTGTCTGCAACCTCCTCATTTGTCAGTGTCTTTGTCCAAGAGAAGCTCATCATCAGGAATAAATATTTTTTTCGTAAGGGAACGTATTTATCACAACTTCATCCTCAAAAATGAAAACTGACAGCATAGGTCAAGCTGTCAACCTCACATGCAAATAAATACATACATCAGAATGCTAGAAAAAAAGATATATCACACTGCTCTACCATTATCCTTCACAGCTGTGCTCAAAAGGTCAAAGGTTGAACAAAGAAGGTCCTGGACGTCAGATTTCCGATCCTTGCCAGCTGCTGCATCGTCAAGACTTCTGCACAATCAACATTGTTGAACAGGATTGGGTTACACCATTGTGCAAGTCGAATAAATCAATGTAGTCTACCCGAAACTAAATATAGTCAAGAATGGCCGTTTTGACAGGAGTGACTAACATGATAGTCAGCAAGTTTTCCAATGAAATGCTCATTACATGATTAAACAGTGGTAGTAAAAATTCTTTGTTCAGATTCTTTGGCATGATGATGTAGGGCCCTGCACTTCTATCTATCCATGAAGTCCATTGACAAAATTACATCCATAATTTCACATCTGTCTGTTTGAATGCAAATTACATCCAAGGGTTTTTACAAAGAAAACACTATCTGCCCATGTGATTTCTCAGAGTGTTGGTACTTTGCTCGTAAGCAAAATTAGGCCGCCCACTTACTGTTGGATAACTGAGTGATCTGTGAGGAGGTCAAATCCACCAAAACTTCTAAACTGTGCACGAGATGCATCTGAAAATGTAATCATAAATAAATAATGGGAAGTCCGCTGCATGACCTTATGTGTGTTGAAGTAAGAGCAGGGTTTGACATACGCTATACAATAATGGTTTGAAAATAAAGATATTTGGTAATTTCGTAAGTTTTTGGTGATGCAAGTTTGTAGCTTTCACAGCATTTGACTAATATGAGTTTATGAGTTGAGTTTTTACTTTTATCTCAAAGCGCATTATTTATGTCAAGTTCGGTTAACAAGGAAAATGGATAATTTTAAGTTTTAAATCACATGTACATGTATTTGCTTCATCCAAATATATTACACAAGCATTCATCCTACCGTCATTGAGAGTGAAGCTGAGAACACGCATTCCACCAGCATAGTAGGGTATCGGATGGTTTGATTGGTTGAGCTTCATGACTGTCTCATGAACACCTGTCGCCCTAATGTCTCCCTCACTGAAAAGCTTCTCAGCTTCCATGTTTGACCTGGCTGTGGACTCGGCCAAATTCACAGCTGCGATGTAGTCTGGAAAGGTGGGAATACCAGCATATTTTAGGAAAGGCTAGGGCAACGTGCCATGGCTTGACAAATTTACGAACTCTGCTCATATTTCTGAAATTCTTCACTTTCAGTGTTGCTAGCACATGCTATAAGCAACAAATCCATGTTAATGGATGTGCAGAACTATCCCTCGCTGGGGGAGTCTGCTTATAGTTCTGCCTTATTGTTCTTAACAAGTGATCAATGATCGCCCTTGCTGGCAAAAGAAAGACAGATGGTACCAAGTTTTCAAACCGGGTTCTTGCATGCGTTCGGCTTGCATGCAAAGACCATACATTCCAGACTAAATTTGTTGTACGTACTCAGCGTGAAATGTGCATAAACTTGCGCTCTTATGTGGTGAGTGCGTACCAAAGAACAGTCAATTTCATTTTGAAACAGGCCCTCTTTTGTTTCTGTCCCGGAGCTGATATTGATCCTTCTAACTGGACACATTATTAAGTGTCATTGATTTGCTGTGCAACCAAAAGTGCCAGAGTTTCATAGGTACACCCCTGCTGAACCACCCTCTATGAGTCTAGCTTTGCCCATCGATTCATGAATTCAAGTCCAGCATACTTTGTGCTCATTTCTCAATTAGGTACACATGGTAAGGCTCCCTCTGTTGTCTTGCAGAGAGCCACTAGCCCTGGCATTCAACTCTGATACTACCGGGGCTCTGAAAATGTTGCTGCTCTACTACGATGCTTTGTGAAAGTGAAGGAGACTTGAGTTATTGGTACCAACATCTGTGCTTTAAGAACCAAGCACTTCAACCTTGAACTCTGTACACTGCCTGCATTACCAAAGCCATCATGGAGTATTCTTGCTGTAAGATCTCAGGGAGAAAAAACCTGATACGTAGAGGGAATTACATGACGCTACCAGTTCAAAGGCCCACCTGTCACCATTTTCTCATGTTTCTGATCAATCTTCCTAATTTCTTGGAACGTCTTGATGGCAGTCTCGTAATCCTCTAGACCTTGCTGGGCCCTGCCAAGGTGGACCAAGGCTTTAACATTCTCAGGTTCTAGCTGCAAAGCTGTCTGGCAATCTTCAATAGCCTCTGGGAACTTCTCCAATTTGATGTAAGCCTAAGACAGAGACAGGAAAAATATGGGAACGAGCAAATCCACATTGGGAACCTTATCAGAATCTGCTCCGTAATTCTAACAAACAACAACATTTTCACGAATGAATATACTTGTAAATCAAGTTCCAGCATTAAAATGGTGGATTATCATGCTCATGATGTTGCTTCAAAAACCCCACAAACTTTTGCCTTTTACTTCTGTGAATTTACAGAAAAGTAATACTTTTGAAGGCATTTTGTTTTTAATTTGGTACTCAAACTGGTCAACTCTATAAAATGCTGAGCACCGCACTTTTATTTACATGAAGTGAGCAAATTCTAAACACTAATTTCAAACTTCATGAACTCATGTTCTATTTCTCACTTTGTACAAAGTTGTTCAAGAAGCTTTCCTTGAGATTTTAGCCGTATTGCCTTTGGTGGATTTGTTACAAATGGTGGTAAATTATCAGAAATGTAAATGAAAACAAAGAACTGAAGAACTGTAATTTCACAAGGACAACAGGAGCTAATGTAAAATTTTGTAAAGCTCCTACATTTATATCCAATGGTTCAGGACTTTGCAGAGGTGATGTAAAATCTAGAGATATTTTGCGAGACCACAGTCATGTAAAAGGTGGCTTGGAATTTGATAAATCCATCCAAAATTTAATCTACCCCTGTCCTTTTCCATTTCTTTTCTTAACAAATATCCTGCAAGATGATTTATTATTATTTTTGCTTCTGCGTCTAGCAATGTAAGTCATGCACACAAATGTAAAATTTTAAAAGAAAAAAAGGAGGCTTTATTAGGAATGATGTTTCACTCCAGTTTCTGATATGTTCCATTAGAATGCCGTAGTGATATTATTTCCAACCAGGAAGTATAGAGCAAAAAAATGAAGTACGCGCACATGTTCACATGCCGGTTCTCGCGCTAATGCCTTTTACCAGCCACATAACTGTACACATGACATATTCACATATTTACTTTAAACTGTTCTACAGATACATGTACATGTGAATATTTGTCATGTTTGTTATGTTTTCTATGTCTGGCAAACATGCAGGTCTACTTTTGAGCTATCCTCGTTTTTTAGCAGCAAGTAACCTGTGCTCTGTTGGTGTACAAGATAACAAAATCCTTAAGTCGGTCCAGGCCTTCGGTGTACAGCTCAACTGCCCGAGTATAGTTGCCCGTCTGGAATTCCTGGTTGCCCTGGTCTTTCAACACCGTCGCCTCTGCTTTCTGTTTCCTGCGTTTCTCAGCACGCTGATTTGCATCTGCTTCTAAGGCTTTCATAAAATCATCTAGAATAAAATAGGCCAGGTTTTTAAGGTAGTGTGTATGTTTGCAACACTGCTCTTCTTTATGGGGAGGGCAATATTATGAAAACATTAGTCTTCGTTCCAGGTGTGCTTCCAAACAAAGTTTAAACTTCAAGCAAACTCTCTACCTCATTCAAGGAGTGCAATGATTCATGAATCAGATACATTGCTTGTGTGTTAAGTACCAGCAACAGGAGTACAGTCAAACAGCGGTGTCTTCTAAGCGAGACATACTGGTATTGTATGCCTGCTTTTCCTGTAGCTTAAAGCCATTTCACACTGTCTTGCAGCAAGATTAAAAAACTGACAAGTCACTTCAAACTTTCAGTTTCTGATCAAAGACGAGAGATTTCAGACAAATCTTCAACGGTCAGAGTTTGATTCCCTTGAAAGACCAGAATACTGGACCAACATGTATTTATGCCTGCTTTACTGTGGATGTCAACTCCTAGAATGACTCTCCTCATGCATATACATGTACGTGTCTGGCTCCTTTTGTGTCAGTACATTACCCACCTGGTGTTTGGCTTTGTGAAGGTCCTACACTCCTCTGACTAGTCTGTAAAAATCAAACAAAACAACTCATCCTTAACAATTGAGGTGACTGAATTAATTAAAGTAACGTGGTGAGTTGACAAAGTTAATAGAATTGTGCATGATAACCTGTTTAGTGACTCAGTGTCTGCTCTGTTTCTCCTTCATCTCTTTTGCTTTGTTTTAATTAATTTAATTTTTGTCATGTGACTTTTTACGGCCTTTCTGGGAGGTGAAATCAAATGTTAGAGCACTTTACCTGCTTTTGGAAGTAAGGGGAATTAAAGAGATTAAAAAGTAATGCCTCTTTACAATTATTAAAAAACAAAAAATCTTTTGGGGACGGGCCATGGCCCCCCATTGGCCCCCTCCGGATCCCCTTGGGTCTACTGTATGACAGTTACTGACTAAAGATGTGGTAATTAGGCATTACACTGGCATCTTTGAAGGCTGCTCGGTTGATCACTGTCCTATCAACTGGTTCCTTCTGTCGTCGCACTCCATCTGAACTGCCTGCTGAGGAAAGACTACCCTCTGTCTGTTTGTCAGGTACGGCATCACTCTTCACGATGGATTCTAAGGAAAGGAAAGAGTGCTTCAATCATGTCCATCAATGCAAAACAGTCGTCTGCTCAGAGGATTTGCTAGCTTCTCTGGGGAAAGGTAACTGTGGATGTCCATGTCCGGTTGAGAGAGACAGTTACTGTACTGGTAAGGTCCCCCCCAAAAAACTACTCGGTCTCTGGTCACACCATGGAGGAAGGACACAGAAAGAGTTTGAACTGCCCAGGCTGTATGTGTTCCTTCCTCCATGGTAACATCTTCATCAGCTATGTCGGGAGGGAGTGCAATAAATGTGGGCGAGAATCAAGATTGCGCTATAAATTATAGTACACATGTAGGGGGCCGATAACGTTGTCATGATGGTTATATAATCATGTATGTAAGATGTGGCCTAGGCCTAAAGTGGTAATAACCTAGGATGAAAACGTATGACTTAGTCGGAAAATCCAAATACAGGAGTGCAGCACCCTGATTAATAGGCCTGCAGTGAAATAAGGAATACTTAAAACCTACCTAATTCATTCACACGACATAAGAAGTCCTCGAGTTCTGGATCGTTCAAGTCGCCCGCCATATTTGTTTACTGTTGCCGCGGGCGAGGGTTGGTGCACGTACGTACGTACAGGTGCGCAATGATAAATGTGCTTAACGTTTCAGTATCGACTCTACTACTTGAAATCGAATATCATTCACTTTTTCTACAGGTCAACTTCAGCTAGCCTCATTTCGAGTCTGACGTTCAAGTCTTGACAGTATTAAAATTCCATCTTCTAAACCTTTAACAAAAAGTTTTAATTTTTGCTTTTTTAAACGAGTCTTTTTCATATGGCAAAGGGAAAAACTTTTTGTTGAAGGTTTAGAAAAACAAAAAACAGCATTTTTTTTCGCACAGAATTACCTCCATTCACAAAAAAACAAATTTGAAAACCCAACAGAATGACCTCCATTCACAAGAAAACAAATTTGAAAACCCCACAGGACCTCCATTCACAAAAAAACAAATTTGAAAACCCCACAGAAGGACCTCCATTCACAAAAAAACAAATTTGAAAACCCCACAGAAGGACCACCATTCACAAAAAAACAAAACTGTAAACCAGTAGGCCTTTTGTACTTCTGTATTTCTTTGCAATATTAATTCCTTTTGATACATTTTAATGTTTAACAACTATAATATAAATCCTGTTTCATGTCAAGTTCACTTTTAAAAGGCATAGGCACACACTTTTGCTTTTATTCAGCATTTACCATATGTGACTTTCACATAAAATCAATAACACAGTAACAAGTAACATACACAGTGCTTGTCACCAGATCTTAGTCTTGGCTCCAGGACCTTTCCATTCCTCCTTTGGGCAAAAATGGATTAGTTCATGGTTCAAGCTACTACGAGGGCACTATATTTGTTTCCTTTTTTACTTTAGGCGAAGGTCTTGGACATTCCATTTGTCACTGTTTCTTCCCAAAATTTCCGGGGAGTAAATCACAGGCATCGTTTGAATCTTCAGTTGTTTATGCCACTTCATGACATCACTTAAAAGAGAACTGAAAAACAAATGGCATCTCCGGTCCAAAACTTTCTGCATAAAAAGCCGTCTATGTGGTTGTGACACGCCTTTAAGGCACCAATTACCACACAAGTATTCATCTTGTATCTATCCCATGGCTTTGATTATCTCTGCACCGTCTTTGAAAGTTCTGGACTGCTGGGCCAGCAGGCTACAGAAAAATACATTTTGTGTACACATGGCGCACTTGGCTCTGAGTGTCTGGGAAAACCATGTTTGCATGATGTTTCAGTCTCAAAAAATAACGTTATGAACATGAAGCAGCATGTTGAAGGTCATTTGCATAATTTCTGCCAATCACCACTCATGTGATATGAACAATGCATGTCCAACCATTGAAACCATAGTCTGTTGCCGCCCCAGATCAAACAAAATACGCACGACCTTCAGGTGATAGCGGTTTGTCTGGAGATAGTGCCCTGTAATGGTGGCATGGTTTGTGATTGCGGAATAAACTAAAGGGAGGTTGGAACCAAGACCAAGTAAATCTTTGTGTAATTCCCTTGTTCTCCTGACAGCCTGAGGTCTAGGCAAACCTAGCTGTAGGACACAGATAATCTCTTTAACAAACACTTGAATGCAAAGCACTGTGGGAATACACGTAAATACATCAGATTATCATTGGTTAGGCAGATAGTCAACCAATCAGAAATTCGAGAAAATTAGCAGAAACCAGCATCCCAGCATTGTAGGGCACTGAGAATGAGCAATCATTGACTAATCTGCCAAGATGCCATAACTGCCGTGGTATCCCGCTCACATCCACGTTGATACTAAGTTTGCCATGTATGTGCTTTTGGCAAGTAACTGATTGGTAGTAACCTATCCAAGAGCATTGTTCCAACAGTCAGGGCTTCAATTCTATGGCCAAATTACACTATATTTGACATTTTCCCGTGTGTACGTGCACATGAGCGCAAATACATGGCTAGTTGATAATTTTTAGAACCTGCTCACAAGTGTCTTTGGCCCTCATAGCAGATTTTGGATTGAGCAGGACAGAAAGCTACAGTTTATTTCCACCAAGAATGGAATCAGTCTGGACTTTCTCCACAAGTGTCTCCAATGTTCTGGTCAGCAATAGCAAGTCTCTCTCTTGCGACATGCGATGGTTACCATCTTTCCTCAACAACACATCCACGTCTTTGCTGGCTACTCTCTGCGCCACATCTAATGATGTCATGTATGGCACCGTGTCATCCTTCATTCCGTGTAGTAACCTGATAGGACAGGTAATCTGCAACTGATCCTCCATCAAGCATCGCTGGTAACGCTTGTCGACAAAATCTTGTGGTGTCACATACATCACTTCCTCTGCTGTTGGGTTACCAGCTTCCTTTGGGGCAGAACAAAAACGGCGACTTTTTGATTAATCCGACTTTTTCCCCCTTACGGCAATAATCCAAAAGACAACGGCACAAAAAAGGCAGTATATTAGAATTAATTCGAATCTTTTCAATGACGGGAGAAACCATTTAAATCATTCAAATTTTCAGCACTCTACATGTATGAATGTTTATTGGAAAATGGATTTACGAGAAGCACATCTGTGAAAAAACCCTTAAATTGAAATAATCAAAAAGCAGCCAATCCCTATATCGACATTATCAGGCTCAGAACACGCATGCTCTCAGATGACGGCAATCTGTAGGGCTATTATCAATCCCAGATATTTGAACATTTTAAAAAGCTATCGATCTATCCGTGCCGGTCTCACCGTGTGTATAGACTTGTGTTCAAGTCCCTTACATCTTTGGGCGTTGTCATTGACACCATGCACAGTATACATGCTACAGATTTAGATAACACTCAACTTGACAGCGACTTCATCTCAACCACAGCAAACGGTTTGGTTAAATACTCTCAAAACTTTTACACCAACCTGTGATCTATCTTTTTCAGTGTAGCTCAAAGGCTGTTTGAAGTTCACCGCTGTAGCCACACCGATGAGAGCAGCTATTCTCTGGGGTCTCTCCAAAGCTAGGAGTATCATCAAGGCTCCACCCATACTTGAACCCACAAGGATCTACATGCAATTGTAACAATGATCAAAAGAACTTCAAGTCCGATCATTGTTTTTCATTGGTTTGAGGAAAATGGGCAGACCTTTGGAGAATAAAACATAAACATAAACATCTGTGAGCATATTTTTAATGATAAAGGAAAGAAAGATGAGAAGATTGCTAAAAAGTTTGTTACTTGTCATATTTTGACAATGAAATAAACACAAACACAAACAGATGCATTTCTATCACACATACACTTGTATTTTTAAAACACAGAGTGGCAAACTGTGACAAAGAAGTTTAATGAGTTGATCCTCAATATGAATCTGGGCTTTGGAGGTAATTTGGACTAATCTTGGATTTGTATATCAACAATGACTTATGATCTCATTTACACACCAAGATCTGTTGTCGAAATCGTTAAAACAAGAAGATTTAGCTCTTTAAGATTTACAGCTTGGCCAACAGGCCCTCCCCCTCTCCCTAACCGGTCCTCTCTGCTATGGTGTTGTGTTTTAGTGAGCATAATTGAACAAGTGCAATATTTCAGCACATGTACGAATGAAACACAGTGCAAATTGTGTAACTCATTCCAAGACATCAATATGAGCCATGAGTTTTTGAAACACAAAGCAAGCTCACTAAAAGATTGAGAACCGTCTAAAAAAGCAAACGCATGCAAAGCAGAAGGCAACTCTAGGCATTTTTACCTGGGGTCCAGATGTAAGGTCATCGAGTACTGCTAAGGAATCTGACTTCCAAACATCAAAAGCCTTCCCTCCAGGTTGGAGATGCCCACGGGAATCTCCTAAGCCTTGGTAGTCAAACCTGTCAAGAGTCAACAAATTTGTACAATCGATAAAGAGAGATATGTTGCTTACTGATGATGTTTGCCGGAGGTGGCAAAGTTACTCTCCGGCTGGGTTTCAATGGCTTCGATGAAGACAAGCCTTTTTAGCCAATGTTTGACAACTATAGGTGAATATATTGGCCAGGAAATGAAAAAAAAACCAGGCTGTTCAATTTTAAGTTGCTAAGGTTTTATGCTTTTACATATGCACTATTTAAAAAAAACAAGGTGTCCAAAACGGCCAACAGGGTGTTTATAAGATACCCAGAAATCATTCCAGCTAATACAGATAGACAGTACAGACCAGGTACCAGCAGGTCCTATCTGAGCCCATCTTTCCATTGTAGCCAAAGCTTTGAACAGAATCTCCCCATAATATCATCATTATTGAAGATTTATGTTATAAGTGGGAGTTTGTAAATTCGGTACGACGCAAAAACTGCCTGTCAACAGCAATTTTTGCCTAAGGCTTGATGAGACACCAGGTGAAAGCTGAAGTTTCAAAAAAAAGGAATCAGCCAGAATAGTTTGTATTGTATTTAAATCCTAGCATCTGTAGTCCCGTATGTGGTATAACAAACCAACTTCAACTTTGCCACTTGTCGCCATCCCTGTTTGTGTACCATCAGGGACTGATTGGCGATGATCTCTGTGTCTCTAAGTCGCTCCGGAACCCAGATGAAAAGCTCATACAAACAGGTTTGATAAAGTTGGAGCAGTGGGCAAAGTTGGGACCCCACCTACCTGATGTAGGCCACTCCCATCTGTTGGCAACATTTCTCCAATGCTACTGCCTTACCCCCGTTCATGTTTGACATGAAGCCGGGGAGAAACATCACCCCTGGGTTCTGCCCAGGAGTGTGTCTGCAAGAGAAAAATGAGGAATTAAAACAAAACAAAGTCACCAATTACTAGCTGTTTAATGCCAATCATTAGAGTTGGGCCAACATAACTACATATAACAGTGAAAAGAACCAATACAGGGGAGTCACAATAGTGTGCCTCCAAGAGTTCGCAACATGAAATCCGTCCACCCAATGGCATTTGGAAAGGGTCAACAGATTTCGCACACTGTGATTGATCAACGCATTGCAAACTTGGAGATGCACTATTGTGAATCATCCGTATTGCCATGGATTTTACTTGAAACAATCATCCCCACTCAAATCCTAATTTTCATCCTGACAAGATTTTGCAGTGTTACAAGTTCACTTTGAGAATGAAAAAAAAAAATATTAAAATTGGGCCACTTGGAGGTGAGGTGTTCTTCATTCAACATGTTCAATGACATAATTACCAGAGTGGAACTTCATAGGGGGCGCCAACAGGTTCACAAGTTTTTCGAGGACTGTGGCTTGAACGTTTACGTTTCAAAATTCAAAAGGAAGAAGCAACACAGGTGGGTGACAGGCTTAAGGGCATGTGCCCTTCCGTTCTCTTCCTTTCCTGTCGTTATGCCACTCCTGCTGTTAAATTTCAACAACCCTATTTCGAGACAGAAAAACTACATCATGGTTGCATTGTGTCACCTGTAGGCTACTGTATTGTTCCCTTGTCTGTGAAGATGTTGGATAACCGGTGCCCCGCCAGCTCCCTGATCATTAGCCGATGAGTTGCTCATGGCTGAGACACACAACCTCTGGCTTAAAGATATGGAAGGTAATGCCAGAAATTCTTTGCAAATGTGCCTTGCTTGTACCACAGGTCTGTAAATGTTCATCTGCAACAGGAAAAATAGAAACGTTCACGTAGTAGCGTCATTTTGGCCAGAAGAATGCAGATTATATTCATTAATCGGTCCAACAGGTCCATCTTGTCCATCTCACTGGGCTTCTCCTGGACATGTTTGCACTGATTAACCGAAACAGACCAGAGCATGGTTACTTTGGCCCCTCCTAAAATTAAATGTGACATTTCCAGATTTACTTCAGTAGGCCTAAAACTGGTGAAACACACAAAAAAATTGAAATTTGTTGCCCTGTATTCAGCGGCAGCAAAACGATTTTCAAAGGGGGGGGGGAGCTGTTAGACCATCAGGCATCAGTCATTAAAAAGTCGATCTAAGCCCCACCCAATTATAGGTCCTGCAAAAGTGTGGGGGGCACCCCCCCCCCTTCCGCTGCCAGTGCCTGCATTGCACCATGGAGAAGGAAAACACTTTTCCTTCCTCCATCATGACTTCACGAAGATTTTTTGATAAATTAAAATGTCATGTGCCCATTATTTGTCCCTATTCTGAACACAACTGGATTTAGTTATTTGGAAAGATTTCAGTGTTCCCAAACTGATGTAACTGATAGGGGTGTTGATGTATAATCTTTCTGAGTTGGGCACTTTGACCAGCAGTTTGTATCAAATACTTTACGTGCAATGGGCTGGCGATCGCTCTTCCAGAGAAGCGACTTAATACTTCTTCCGGCCCCACGTGTACTGTACCATGTGTGTACAGGGGCAGGTCAAAGCGGTCTCGGTGCGGCCCGCTAGTAAACACACGACCACAACACCATGGTTAGAGCTCTCTCAGGGCATTTGAAAAAGTTGGGGCATTCAAGGAAACGCTGTCAAAATCAGTGTAAACTTGACGATGAAACAAATAAACCTATGATTACAAAATACTGAACAGAAAAAGAACATCAAACCATGGAGCTATAAAATAGGAAACACAGTTACCGTCTAGGTGCATGCGGTACATGATGTGGAAGGCCTAATCGATTATCATAAAGTAACGCGAAAATAGACGATCGAAACCGCGCCTCCTCTTGTCTAGTTTCTATATCACAAGCAGGCTTTTGTGAACATTTTGCCAGTTACCAGACTACCTCGAAATTCTTCCGGATTCGTTTACGCGCGCCATACAGCAATTCGCACGTTCATCCTGCGAGGGAAGACCAAGAGTTTCCGTCTCCTAATATAACAATAATTAACATTTTATTTGGTCTTGATTCTAAGAGCCAAGTGAAAAAACACAACATGAGAAGAAGAAAGGTAAGAAGAACCGAGGTTTTATTTTAACCGCTGGGAATCGATTCATTTTGGGGGTCTTTTTCATTTTCTCTTTCATTAACGTTTAGATTGTCTACGTGCTACATGTAGTTGGCCTATGTGGGCTTGCCGTTATCCGTGTAATTCCGACATGTACGGATTCGTCCGCACGACGTGTATATCCAAAATTTGACCTAAAAGTCACATTTTCACACACCTAGCTTTCCCACATTAGACTTAAAGCTGTCCTGTTTATGGTAAGTTTGGTTTATGAAGGTCATTGTCAATGCCTATTGCTTTCTGGTGGCATCCGTATATGAAAGTATCGCCCCAAGACTTTGTTTAATTTACTGACCTGACTGACAAAACTCTTTTTCAGACCAGTCTCGTAGTTTTTGTGTGCAGGGTGTCAGGTGGCATGAGTGGCGTCCGTGTGGAACTCCTTCCCAAATTTACTCTACAGTGACAATTTTTCTTAGTCTGGTTCTTTGCCATAACTATTGTGACTTTGTATTCATAATTTGAGAATCAGACCATTTGCATGTTGGGTACAGAAAAAACACACACACACACAAAACGAATGGCTTGGGATTCGAACCCAGCTGGTAGCGTATCGTGACATGTCAAGATGTATGTCATTGTGCGTGCTAACCACTAGACCACGTACTGTGTAACAGTCAGATTGACCATTACCAGCTTGGGATGTGGAAAGAATGAGGATTCTTATTAACTCTGAGCTACTGTACATGATCATGATTAGTTTACGTACAATCTGTACATGTACAGCATGATTACATACTTTATATAGGCCGTACAGTAAAATCTCGATAACTCAAAAGTCGGTTAACCTGAAACTACGCTTAACTCGAAGAATAATTAATTCCTGCCGAAAGAATAGGCTTTGATATACAATAACATATCCGTAACTTGAACTGCTCATGTTGCCGGATTCTTTTACCTTGAAGTTTTTGTGAGGGGTTTGGGTTGTTGTGATTTTTGAGAATCTTTTTCAACTCTTCCAGGGTTTTCTCACTTTGCTTACTTGGTGACACACGGTTCTTGAGAAGACCGTAGGCCTTCGCCCTGACCGCAGTTAAGAACACACTTACTGCCCGGTCGTCCGATATGGCATTAGCTGCGAAGAACTGTTCGAGTCGCTCTAGGTAGCATTCGAAAGTTTCTTCTCCCTCGTGAAATTCACCTATTTTCCGATCACGAGAGCCATAGTGTTTCTACAAAATTCTTCCCACTACTTTAGTGGCACTGGGGATACCTCTTTCGAACAAATAATCTCATCTTCGTCGCCAAATTACAGTATAACATATACTGACTGATACACTGACACGAGGTTGACAAAGGCTGCTTTGATAGGAAACGTGGTTTATTCAATGTACAGCTACAGAAGGCGCACTCTACATTTTGTGTGTGGTGTACTGACATGAAGTAATATACTACAGTATGGGGTCACGTCATTGTGTGCTTGCGTGGCACTGGTTTCTCACTCCACTCACGTCAATGCATCTATCTATCTGTAGAACATGTATTTCTCCAGGATTCAATTGCGACAGCATTCCCGCATCCTGCCTTTGTTATGTGTGGAGGGTGTATTATGGAGCAAGGACGACCTGCATTTAGGTGACAACTTCAGCTACTCTTTTATTTCCAACGTGAGCTCTGAGAACTATCCGAAAGGAGTGACTGACTAGCGCCCTCTGTGGTCTGGTATGTTACAGCCTTAGCCTCATCAAATAGCCTTACTTGATCAGGTGTTTGAATTTTTCTACTTTTTCCAGCCAAGACAAGACAGCAGCTCTGGCTCAGAGTTTGTGTCAGAGGAAGAGTCAGAGAGCTCGGGAGAAATTGACCTGTCCAGCACCGATGAGGAGTCAGGGAACCGGAGAGTGACAAGGACATCCACACGGATGCAGACTAGAGCTACGAATCAAGGTAATGACGGTGGAAGTCCAAGGATCACACCCTTAGGTTTGTGTTGTTTGGTGTCAAGAAAGCAGTGGTCTGTCTTCCAGCCGTCTTGCCAGCATAAGTACATTTACTGCGTGGGTCAGTGTAAGTTCCGCTAAATGATTGGCTGGTTATTATTTTGAAATGTTGCTGTCAGTTTCTTTCCTCCTACTGTTACACATACAGTGGTCAAGATTTGTTGTGACTGTAGACTAGTCACTTTCCTGCCACTTGTATCTCCCCACCCAGGAGAACATGTCTAAATGGGCACCTGTGAGACAGTTCTCTGATTAACCATTGGGGCCTGAGAACTCGGCATACTCCCAGGCCTGCCAGGGAACTGAAATGTTATAGGAATGTTTAATGGGCCCCGTTGAGACACCTTGCTTGGGTTCCCTGATACATGGTCTCTCTAATTGATTTCTTTTTTTCAACATTTTTCAACAGCATTGTTAGTTCAGCCTCTACGCAGGTCCCCTCTCAAAGGGCGCAAGAGGGGTTCCAGTGGCTCCAACTCAGCCGAAAGCTCAGACACAGACAGTAACACCAAGACACCAGTCAAGCGCAAGCGTGGCCATCCTCTGGCCAACAGTGGGACTTCAGATGCTGAGTCCAACGAATCGACGGGCCCCACGCATAGCCCCAAGAAAAGAGCCAAAACAGATGATGTCAACCTTAGCCGCTCACCAGGAAAACCAGGTGAGGTTTTGCTGGTGTTTTTCAGAAACATGCGATTCCCTGGGTATTTCTGTTGAAAAAACTCGCCCAATCTCCCACGTTTAACACTCTTCAGATGTTTTTTGAGCTTACAGTTCTGAGACAGTGTGCGAGAAAAGAATTACCTTTCAAAGAATTTATTCTAACTTCAATGGAATGGCATACAAAGCACAATATAATGTGATAGAAGCTTACAATAAGTACAGTGTAATGTGTCACATGCTTGTCATTTCCGTTAGGTGTTGTGTTGAATGCGGAGTTCGAAACCAGACAGAGGAAAAGCAAGCTCATAGCTGTGGCACAGGTGCAACGGTCATTGGATATCATGGAACTCAAGTGTCCGGTACCAGGCTGTGATTCTCTCGGTAACTAGAAAGAATAAACAAATTATCTTTGTGTTTCTGACCCTTTCACAGTGGTATCAAGGCAGTGAAATGGAACGTAGAATCTGAACTTTTCGTTCAAAGAAGCCTCTGTAGTGTGTTAATAGACCGCTTTACTGATGTGAGTGCGTTCCTACATGTAGGCTGCTCAGTGAACTGGTGGCCCCCACTGGATCCATAAGAAAGTGCACATGTAGACAAAGTGTCATGTCATCAAGACATACTTACATTTAGGCCTTTTGTTTCAAAGCAAGCTAAATTCTGCATTTCTCAGCATTCAGAAGAATCTTTTGTTGTCATATATAAATATCCCAACAGCGTTGGCTGCCAAAGTCCGCTGTGTATGTGGCTATTGTGTAAGGTTTTTGGTTTGTGAAGGTACCCTTATGTCAGGCATGCAACTTTTCTGCGGATTCCGGCGTCTTTTAAAAATCCGTCCGCACAAAAATAATATGCGCGTGTTGGGCTTGGTTCTGTTCGCGCTGTGGCGCTGGCCGCGCCAGCGTAGCGCGCACCAAGTTCCAGTTTTTGGTACACATTAATGAGCATTAAAACCTTGTCTGGCCCCTTGTTTTGTGCACGCGTAAAATGCACTAAAAAGTGCATGACACAGACTCAGCACCGTACGTGCAAACGCCTTCTGTCGACGACAAGCCAATAGTCCGGTGCTACATTTTTTCCTGATGTTAATGAATACGTCGTTATATGGATACTATACCCCTTCCGAGGCCATCCGCAAACGTTGAAAAAATGCTGTTGTCAACGTGCATCGTGATCGTCGATCATTCATGTGTCAAAACTCAAAATGACTTCCAAAAGGAAGGATATCAGATCAAAGAGCCACTGCACAGCACCCACTGCAACATTCCAAGACCCCAACATCCAAAAAAAAGATCACTAGAGGTTGCAGGGAAGGTCGCTAAGAGAGCCAGACTAAATCACATAGAAAGGGTGAAAACATCCAACAAAAATCCATTAGACAGGTGGGAATATCAATTTTATGTCACAGGTTTATTTCGCAGAATGTACCTCTCACAATAAAAATTTCAAAAAGAATCACAAATAAGAAGCATTTTGTGTATTTTTAATGAAAGTATGCCATAAAAAGCTTTACATCTTTCACTCCAATTTCACTTCAACTGGGGCCACAGAGCATGTAAAATTCAAACTTTTCCGGGGCCCTAAGGCGGGCCTGGACCCCACACCAAATTGGCTTCGCGCTGCGCACACCCAGTTTTGTATGCAAGAATATTTTCCTCTTTTTTTCAAATTGAAGAGTTGCATGCCTGTTATTTGCTGCAAGGCCTGAATCAGAACAGAGACACCAGGAGTCACATAACACTCTCCTTACTTTCCTTGGACCAAGTTGCCCTTTCAATCCCAACCAATCAAGTGACTAGTTTTTAACCATTACAAGTTCGTCCTGTTGCGCTGACGACCAAGGTTGAGTGGTAGAAACTGTTGCTTGATGGCACTTTGCAAATAAAATTCAGAAAACTGTAATAAAGGCAGTTGTCCAGTCTTGTGCTATTTCAGTCTGTTCAATAAAGGTAGATTCTCTCTGCACCGAGTTGAAGGGTTCACCTGACCGGCACTGGAGAGACAAGCTCATGGAAAGTACATGTATTTCAACTGGGTTTGTGCATGCACTGCACACACGTTAAGACTGTATGTTCAAACAGAACTTGGTTGCACATGCTCAGTGCTCTCGTTTCAAATGTGCAAAGATCTGTGCATGCATGAGTTTGTGCCAAATTACCGTCACGGTTATATAAAAATACACCCTCTCTTGTTCCTGCTTGGAGTTGATTGCCTACATTACAAATTATTTGAACAGAATCTAAGCTTTCAGTCCATGCACTCTGTTTATGACATCGTCATTGTAGATCATTGTTCCCTGATTTCATTTGGTTTATTGAGCTTTCTGAAATCTGAGGAAGCTTGATTATTTCATGTTAAGTTCTCATATTTCTCACTAGAACAGTAAAAGTGATGTGACTTTTATCAGTAGGCTGGAATAACCCAACAGAATACAAAGATGGTAATCACTCATTTGGCCCTACTGCATCAGCCTTGGTCCCATGCATGTCAAGTTTCTTGAACATTTTTACAGCTCTTATTTTGCTTCTGATTCAAGATGGCCGACTGGTGAATGCGGCTTATGATTTTTATGCATGCTTATTTCCCTTTTAGGCCACATCACGGGTAAGTTCACCAAGCACCGGACTGTCTCGGGCTGTCCCATCTATCACAATATGACCCTGGCCGAGTGCAAGGCACGGGCTGAGACTAGGGCAGACAAGGCCAGGCAGAAGGCTGAGGAAGAAGGCGAGGAGCAAGACCTCGCTGGGAAAAATCTCCGTCAGTCGGTGAGTGGATCATTTGTAACAAAATCATTTCCAAATGTGGTAATTTGTCAATCATTTTTAGCTTTGAATCAGTGGAGTGTGGATACTAGTAGGGGGAATTTAATCTTTTTTTAGTAATGTCGTCTCGACTCTACTGTCCAATTTCGATTGTAAAATGGTGGATGATATTCAAGTTGTTTGAAATTTGGACAGCTGGATTTGAGGAATTGCCTAGCTTGTTCTATCATAGTGAATACTGAAATTTGAATTGTCTCACATCAGTGTTGAATTCAGATAAGCCAACTTATATCACCCATAGGCAAGGACACAGAATTCTGCATTTTGCCATAAGCAAACTGCTTTTTGTATTTAACTGGAAAACTTGGCAAACGGCTGAGGGCCCATCGTTAAAAGGCAGTTCCAAAGTTCCTTTTTGATCTCAGCTAAAACCCTACGTGTATTTTTGTTTTTAATACATGCACCTGTGCCCTTCAGCCCATCTTTGCTGCCTCTTGGACCTTCCTGAAATCCTGTCTTCCTATTAAGCTTGCTGCACAGGCCAAATGAGCTTGCTACACAGGCCAAATCAGTGTCATGGTGTTGTCTGAGTTTCAGGATTTGTGTCCTGATCATTCTTGTTTGGACGAAACCCAGGCATATGGCATCTCAGCACAATGATTACCTTAGCCAATATTTTCATGTATGAACACATACATCTACAGAGTATCTTGGCAGGTGCTTGCTTGTGGTTGCTACAGGTGCATACGTGTAGAGGTATTTTGCTGTAGCTAAGTAATTCATGGTTTAGCATAAACTATGTACCAGTATTGATGTCTAGTTGTGGCTACCTGAGAAAATTCTCAGAAACGATCAAATGTTATACCCAAGTGGTAGAGAGAAGATGTAAGAGAAACAGGTGAATCACGCCTTTTGTTTCTCGTACCCTGAGGCAGAGTGAATCTCGGTTTAAACAGCAGAAGAAGTACCAGGTCCTGGAGTTGAGGAGGCAACGGAAGGAGCTGAGCGCTGAACAGAGGGAGAAGAACAGGAACCATCGAGAGGAGTTCCATAAGAGCCGAGAGCCATTGTTGGATGGGCTGACATCACAGTATGACATGGATCTATTCAGACAGGCCCAGATCAGGGCCTCGGAAGAAATGGTGCGCAGGATTTACAAATATTTCCCCAGTGTATTATCTTTAAAGTGTCCATGGAATTCAGTTAGTTTACTGCGGCTCTTGAGAGTGCACATTTCTGTTCCCATTTACATTCTTTTCAAGTTTGGTTTTCTATTTTAAAAGGTATGATGGTTCCTTTTTTATGCTACCTCAAATTTCCACATTCATGGGAGAAAACCTCAGTGTTCCATAGATTAGTGTATAAACATGTTCTGGAATCTTCACTGAGAAAGTGTTGGGTGCTCGCTTTGACCCCCCAAAAAACTTAAAATGAACATTGTCTTTTATTCAAATCATGTCATCAGCGCCCACGATATTTCAGAAGACCTTTTGAAATGTGCAAGGAAAGTGCACTTCTACATGTACATACTCTGAAACCCCAAACAATTTCAAACAGTTCATCTTAGTTTAATAATACATGTAGTCCAAAGATGAACAAAAAGTGTGTCTAAGGACTGTCCGTTACAGGGAGTATGTAAAAATCCTGATAGAAATTGCTGTGGAAGAGATGAACCACCCAAGACACATTCTCAAAGTTAATGTTCAAGGGGGGACGAGGTTTCTGCTACTTACCTGGCCTTAAGTACTGTTACAGAGAAGAACGTTTGTCAAGGTTCTGTTGAATAAATGGTCGCTTGACTTGACTGGAAGACTTTTGATGGGTATGTGAACTACCTTCCTCATTGAATTGTATTAGGTCAGGTAATCGTTACTTTTACTGGCCTATTTTTCTTCATAACCAAACATACATGTACCTGGTAATCAGATTTTCAAACATCCTATTGCCTCAACCGAACCTAATTGTTCTTATCAGGAGAGAGAGTACAACAACATGCCCTACGATGGAGTACTGAAAAAAATTGACTTTGGTCGCTTTGAACTGGGCACATGGTACAGCTCCCCCTACCCAGAGGAATACGCCCGACTCCCCAAACTCTACATCTGTGAGTTCTGTCTCAAGTACATGAAGAGCTCAACCATCCTACGCCGGCACACGGCCAAGTGTGTATGGAGGCACCCTCCAGGAGACGAAATCTACAGGAAGCATAACATCTCCTTTTTTGAGGTTGACGGAAAGAAAAACAAGGTAAGAGGCTAGAAAATTAAGAACTCGGTTGCTTGGCTCATATTCTTAAATCATATTTATTTGTGCTCTATTAATGCGGTGTTGTTTCACACTTGTTTTTGTTTTGTCCTGTTTGTCATTTGTCTGTCCTAGGATGTTAGATTGCTTTGTTTTCTTTGTCTCTCCATAGGTTAGGGTACTAAAGCGTTCTTGCTTAACCTTAAACCTAAATGATGTCATCTAATTTATCAATTGTAAAATGATACATTGTGTCATGTTGCTCAAGTTAATGGCCATGTACTCAGTACAAGTTATGTGAATCATGTTTGCTTATTTTAAAGAATGACAGCATTGAATAAATGTTTCATTCAAACTTTCCGAACCAAAAATCTGGGATGTGGAAACTTGCTGCATGGTGTACTGTTTATCCTCGATCCTAGCAAAGCTATGAGCGTGGTATATACATGCAAATATTATGCCTGTTACTATTCATACAGGGTAGGAGCTTGATGAAGGCATCAGTGACAGTTGCCTTGATGCCCCTGGTCTCTGCCTTGATGCCTCTGGTCTTGCCTTGATGCCCCTGGTCTTGCCTTGATGCCTCTGGTCTTGCCTTGATGCCCCTGGTCTTGCCTTGATGTCCCTGGTCTTACCTTGATGCCCCTGGTCTTGCCTTGATGCCCGAGGTCTTGCCTTGATGCCCCTGGTCTTGCTTTGATGCCTCTTGTCTTGCCTTGTTACCCCTGGTCTTGCCTTGATGCCCCTGGTCTTTTCCTTGATGTAAGCCTACTATGTACCTAAATTTGTTAGCCCAACTGCTGACCAATGTCTATTTTATATCACTTTATCAATCGTGAAACATAATTTTAACACCAAAGGTCTGGTGCAGGAATGTGTGTGTTATGGGAGAATAGAAGTGGGTACTGGTTTCCCTATGGCCCTTACTCCCAAACCTTGACTCCCAGAAACCTTCAGAGAGATGCAAAGCAAAGGAAGTCTGTTGATTTCATTTTAGTCAGAACTAATGAGGAAAAGTTCTGCTTTCCCAGATATTGTGTTTTTTTTTAGAGGGGGCATTTTTCAAAATTTCCTGTGATGGTTTCAGGCTACGCACATAAAAACCAAACACTTGAACTATTTTTTTTTTATTTTTGTGTTAGCTTTTTGAGTTTCCGGGTATTCATCATAGCTCCGATCTGCTTCCTCCAAACTAGTTGTAGTCGAGTCCACCACAAGTCCCTGCAAGTCCATCAAAATTCTACCACATATAATCCAGTCTGGCGTAGTCTCAAGCTGTTAAAATGAAAAGTGACAAAAGCTGCTTGTTATCACTGTAAACCCTGTTTATGACTGTTCTTATGTAGGGATTAGTCACTGGACTCTAGAAGGTACAAATGTACTCAGAAGGGGACATGAGATTACTATGCACTCAAAACCCATCACTAAATGTGGGTCTGTGCTTAAAATGACCAAAGTGAGAGAACTCTCATTGATTTTGTTTGGTTTGTCTTTTTATACTTTCAGATTTACTGTCAGAACCTCTGTCTGCTTGCCAAGTTGTTTCTGGACCACAAGACTCTGTACTACGACGTGGAACCTTTCTTGTTTTATATCATGACTCTGAATGACCCCACAGGGTGTCATATAGTGGGCTACTTCTCAAAGGTACTGACTTCACATTTCCTATTTTGTTTATTAAAGCATCTTTAGCCAGCAACATCTGGCCTCCTGTATTGCTGTTTAGTTGTTTGTATTTGTATTTTGGTATAAATCAGCATGAAATATCAAAGATATTGCTCTTCTAGATACTTACATGTACATGTAGTTGAAAGACCCTAGAGTTACATGCATGTATGTATTGTTAAGGGAGAAAAGTATGATATTGTGATGCCTCATGTGATACGACAGGAAAATGGACCTTGGACTTGCTAACAAGTCAAAGAAATGTAAACTCCCTTCTATAGGACTCTGTTAGACTGCATGCACGTTGTACCCCATTCAGCATTGACAAGCTGGAAACATATTAATCTTGTGTCTCTTAACCTTTAGGAGAAGAATTCATTCCTGAATTACAACGTCTCCTGCATCCTGACATTACCACAGTTCATGCGACAGGGTTATGGGAAAATGATCATAGACTTCAGTAAGTCCAACTCTTGCCTTTGTAGTTATAATGGAATAATACTTACCAAAAAGCAATACAATTAGTTTGAATACAGTGGTTATATAAATTGACCAATAAAAACGTTCATATTGTCATTTCCTTTTTTTCATTATTCCAGCCCTAAGTTGATTGTAGTAGCTATTTTCAAAAGCCTTTTACTTATACTCGTCATTTACTAACTGAAAACATTAAGCAAAGAATACACTTGCTCAAATTGATGTTTTTAAATCTTTATTAATACTGGGAAAAAATCACCTAATGCACTGAGTTTACAATGAGTCATTGGCTTTGTATTTGTGGTTATTTCTGAACATTGTTTATGATTTATTTGTGCAGGTTACTTACTGTCTAAACGAGAAGAGAAGATTGGATCACCTGAGAAGCCTCTATCAGACTTAGGGTTGATCAGCTACCGAAGCTATTGGAAGGACGTAGTGTTGAAGTACCTCAGCAAGTATGATGGCCGGGAAATCTCAATCAAGGGTGCGTTTTTAAACCAGGGCCCTGTCCCCCTTACATGTAACTTCACAACCAGTTTTGAATATTCACTGTAAGAGCCAGTTGAAGATGGGTCAGTGTTTGATCTGGTGTTTGATAATTGGATAAGTATAAAGTAGATAATGCTGCATTGGTTTGGCGGGTCTCAACTTTTTGAACTAACTTCATGGAGAATCAGGGGTTTGATTTGTCAGGAGTTTCCTTCAACATTTTTTTTCACCTGAAATTTTTTTATTTCAGCTTTTTTCAAAACTTCCTTTCAATATCTTGAAAATCCTGAGTTTACCATGAAGATGTTTCTACACATAAAATTTGATATAAAACACGAGAAATAGGTATTTTCAGAGGTGCCTAATAGGCAAACAAAAGTGTATACCATAGACCCTGTGCTACTGTGGGGCACTACTTCCTGGATGTTTCATTCCAATCTCACTCCTGATGAAGAATGCAAACCCCAGGCCCAGGAGGGAAATGGAAGCAAACTTTGGAGAAACCTCTCAGAATCACCAAGGAATTGCGAGAATCACATTAAAGTGGCATACGCAGCATCAGTCAACTCGAATCCTATCCTGAATGAACATCCCATAATGGGTGCAAATGGCCTGCTTATGCAATCTTTGCCAAGAGTAGGCTGAGGATTTTGATAGCTGTTAGTCATGCCTACAAAATTTATTCATAAGCAAAGGTTTTTGCCGGTACTGTTTTCCATTAGTGCCATTGGATTTAGTTTAGATATAGATGTACTGCATTTGTAGTGCACTTACCAGGCAGTTATTGGTTGCTTTTGTTCTTCACTTGTGTCTGAGACATTAATTGGAAGTAAATCAATCTGCTCTTCCAAATATATATGACAGGTGTTTTGCTTGCTTTGTTATCCACCTGTTACTCAGATATTAGCCAAGAGACAGCCATCAACCCTTATGACATCGTTAGCACCTTGCAATCCCTGAGCATGCTCAAGTACTGGAAGGGTAAGCACCTGGTGCTCAAACGCCAGGACCTCATCGATCAGTACCTCAGCAAAGCTGCCAAGAAGAACAGCCTCAAGACCATCGATCCCGTCTACCTGAAGTGGACACCCCCGGTGGGTGATACCATCTGAAGGGGCACATGCGTGAGTGGCAGGCACGAGGGACAGTCCATTCCCTGATGTGGGGGTGGTTTGTTTGTGTGGCCTGACATATGAAGTAGATAGTTCTCAGTCTCCAAACCTAAGGAGGCTATTCCCATGATGTACATTTCGGCTATTTATGACCCTGTAAAAATGCACTGCAAAACTGCAAGTTCATGTTGGCAAGTCAAAGCTAACATCCGGAAAGCTTAACAAGATAAGAATGTTAGAATCTTTAAAAACAACAAACAGGAAACCTCAAGTGGTGGTTATGGTAATCATTCATCAGCCAGTGTTGTTCGGATGCTTAAACGCTGTCCAGATAACATCTTCTATGCTATTCTATACCTTTGCCAGGATATGTCAATATACATTTAAAGAATATGACACTGCAGTTAGCAAAACCATAATTATTTTGGCTTTTATGTGTCCGGGGAGGTTTGGGTTAAAAACTGTTATTTCTCCAACTTTAGTTCGAGATACATGGTGTACTTTGCTTGAAGAACCATTGGCCAAGAGGATTACCCTATTTGTGTACGTTGTTGATCACATTCCCAGCCAACAGCACAGTTGAAGTAGTGCAGATGTCGGGAAGGCTTCATGCAGTAACCCCCGTTCCCCACAGACTTGTGTGAAATAGCCAGCCAGAGCTATATACATGTAATTTGGACGGGCTTATAGCTTCAGAGATTGTGGGCAGATGGTATCTTTTACAGGGATGTGATATTGGCTTAGACTGCTGAAATCCAGAGGCCAAATCTGTACTGCTGTTAACGGGGACAAATTTACTGGAAAAACTCAAGCAGGTAGTCAGTCAGGAACTGTTGTAGCAAACAGTATACAATGTATGGCGTTTTCGTAGTAATCTATGTTTTCCAAACTTTCTCTATCCATTTGAATTTTTAATTGGTAATTTATCTTGTTACTTTGTTTCTGTGCGTGGTATGTTCTGTGATAAGCAGTGCTTTGTACTTAAGTCTTTGAAATATCACAGCGATGAATTGGGGTCTAATTAAGTGGCAAACACGGACAATTTTTGGAGAGTAGCTTTCAGTCGGGAAGAAATGGATGTTACAAGCTTCTAAGTCCTTTCTCGGTTTTGAATAAAAGGCGGCACCTGCATGGTTGTGTTTCACTACAAGTTACCAAAACTGTTTGAGCCCTTAAAACAAATGAATCAATGACGACTTGTCTTTGTTTGTCGCTTTTTATTTAGAATTTCGAGATATGATCTAGAAATACTGTTTCAAGGCTTCGTTCTGCGTGTTTTTCGATGTGGCTCGTAAGTCACCATGTTCGGGACGAAGTCACCGGGAAGGGCTTCGTCATATCACTCATTTGGTACTTGTTACTTCAAGGATCGCCTGCAAAATCCTTCAACTGAACGCGGTTAGAGATCCATCGTGTATTTGCCGTTGGTGAATGTATCAGTGGTCGTGTAAGGAAGTGTGTGCAAATTTAGACAGCAGACCTTTACAAGAGGGTTTTAATTTAAATAAATCATACATTGTTGAAGGTATTACCTTGTCAACCTTTTTATTTCAAAATCCTTGTGCTAATGTAAAATCTCCGCACAGATTGAGTTACGGTGAAACTACAAAATTATGGAGATTCTTTGATTCGAATGGGCGAGGACGCCAAATTTAACGTTCCCCCAACCGACACCACGTCCCTCCCTCAACTCTGTTCATTGCACAAGAGAACTAAGCGTTTTTCCTCATGCTTAGGACCATGAGATAAATTCCCGTTGTCCACCGTTGGCTCTACACTCTGCATGTAAAAACTTCATTCCTGGGCCATCAAGCCGCTTTACTATCCAGTCACAGAGACATGCAGTCGGCACCATCAGCAGCGGCATATCCAGCTTTTGGTGTTGGGGGGGGAGTCAAAAGTGAATGCGGCTTTGGGCATATTCAACATGATGCTGGTCGAGAAAAAAAATATATATCAAAAGCCTTTAATACTGTCCTAAAATCGTTGCTTTTATTTTACGGTGTTGCTTTCCTAGGGCTTGGTAAAAACATTTGATAAACATACCCATTACTTTCTTACCTATGAAATATATATTTTTTTTAAGAAGTCCCCTCCCCCGCTGGATACCCTCAGTGGATTATAGGCCCCATTAGTTGTCTTTATTACATCACAAGTCCAAATGGATTTAAATGTATAGGTTAGCTGTGGAGTTGCTGTCGATATGACTTCCACGACAGAGATGGGGACTTTTTACACCACCACTAAGTACGTTTTTCGAGAGGCTAATTGGGAAACAGATTCTCCGTCCCTTCAAAGGAACACCATGTTTACAACCTTGTATTACATACGTAGTCACTGACATACCTCGGTCACTGTAGAAAAATATTTCTTTTAGAAAATACACGCAGTTGGAATATCACCTGGGAAGTATTTGCAAAGTATGTTATACGTGGCTGTCAATAATATCGTTATTTGAACATATTTAATTTTTATTGATATAAAAATAGAGGAGTATATTTTAAAAACGAATAAGACGCTTTAAAAATATCGAAATGAAAAGGGTGTTTTGATGCAATTGTCACAATCGATAAGAAACACTGCACGGCAAATCGAGAAATTTAGAGAACACCAACCCGTAGAACGTCTAAAGTGGTGCGTAATCATTAACTGTACATTCTTAAGATCAATCGACACTTTTCTAGGGAGTATGAAGTCACTAGAGTGGTTTAATAGGTTGTGTCGGCACTTTTAAAAGCGGGTAGATTTGCGTCGTGCAAATATTTCCCATCCAAGAACTGGCCAAATCTGGTGGCAGCGTCTGTGTAACGCGTCTGGCCGCAACTGGTCACCAGTACCGTCCATCCCAAGTCGTACCTAAACTAGCAGGTATACGATTTGGGACTCGGCCTGACTGGGGAGCCCTAAAACGAGAAGGTGCGTAGCCTTTATCACCAGTCATATATCCTTATTTAATTAACCATGCATACATGTTTAGACAAACTAAACCCGGGGGGCAATTATCATGGAAATAGCGTGCACATATCACTCAAGGGTAGAACGGCTTATTGAATAAACTTGGGGCGAACTTCAGGCTTTGATGAAGAATGGGCGTTGCACTAGATATTCCTGATGTCCCTTGTTGAAAAAGATAGCGTAATTTGTACGGAGGGCCTGCACGGAACCGTAGCTGCCGTCCAGAACCATCACAGTACACGCTCACCGTGACCGCAAAAGGGCGTGGCTATGCCCTGTAAATGGTGACCAGTGACAAAGATTCTGAAATACAGTTAAATCCTTTTGACAAATTGCCTGGGAAGTTGGCTGGTATGCTTACGCTACAGAAGACTTTGTGCCAAGTCGGTAATTAGTTCGCTTCTATTCTTGACCTGCAAGCCAGGCTGGTGCGATCGATACCTAAAACGTAATCTTTTTCACCCTTGCTTGGAGAAGTTATTCCCTTTAACTAATTGTCCCTCATGATTTTATTACATCTTACACGGAGCTGCGGTGAGAAATTTCGGCTATTACGTACGGTGACAGACAAAACATGACTGTCTCTACGACTTTTCATCTAGTCTAACGTCCTGCGCACAAGCCAAAATTATTGCATTCATAAAGGGCCTAGTTGTGACAGTTTCTTCAGATATTCTTGCTGAAATTACCAGATTTTGTTTCTTTTTCTTTCTTTTTTGTTTGGTTCTGTTTGTTTTGCCTGTTGCAAGTTTTTGTTTCCTTTCTTTCACCGTTTGCCTCTTGGACTCAGGGTTAGCTTTGTTATCGGTTAGCGATAGAATACAAACAAAATATGTCAGTAGCTTTTGACACAGGGCATCTAAGCATTAGTGACGAGAACTCCTAATCTGTGATCAGCTACCTGGCCTACTGAAAAAAAAAACAACAACAATGTTTCAGCCCAAGTAAGATAAATAATTGTATGACCTGTAAGATAGGAGCCCCAGGGTTGTCAAAAATGCTACAATGGGCAATGTATTTACTCAAGTTTATGTTTATACAATTATTCATTTATTTACAAGTAATTTGGATTTGTCCCTTTTTTAATCCGTAAGTCAGTTTTTATTATTAGTTGTTTTTTGTTTTGTTTTCCATTATACCTGTAAGTTGCAGATCTCTGCTGTTGGATATCAGAATAAATAAATAAATCAATCAATCAAAAGAAACAATCAATGATTATTAAGTCTCCACTTTGCTCCCCTCTTCACATACTGGTACCCCTCCGTAAAAATCAACAGGCGGAGAACACCCCCAAACTACATCAAAAACACCAAAACAAGCAAAGCGTAAACCAAAAAAGAAAAGAAAAGAAACAAACAGAAACAAAACAAAAACACTGACGTTTTTATGTCAAGGACTAAACTGCTCAATGACGCATTTATTAGAGTATAGTTTTTATTATCAAAGTAAAGATTATCGAAAATGTCTATCATTTATTATCACTGTGTCAGACAAGCGGTGAAAGATCAGTCTACTTTTTCTTAGAGCAGTAGAATTCAAAGGAATCTTGCCATGAAGTTTTTCAAAACAACTCCTAAACTAATACCATATACCGATATCATAAACTAGCACACAAGTCCTAATTTGGCACGAAAAAGTTTGGTTTCACAAACGTACGCGAAGGTTCATTAACACTAAAGCATTCTCTAGCTGAAGCACGACCAACACGTGTTAAGGTTGACACGACAGTCCCCCCGTAAGTTTTGCTTTCATGGAGTGACTCATTCTATTCCTGTGATTGTCCTCGCAAAATGAAACCTCTGTTAAATTTCCCAAGTTATAATGTTTTTAGTTAATACACGTATTGTTATAATTGTCTTCCAGCCAGTATACATTGCTTTACAGTTCTAACCTCAGAACCAAATGGGAGAGCGTCATGCAAGAACACCGATGCAGCTTCATGAATTTTCTGCTCTGAAAATCAATTGTCTTCAGTATGATCGAGTTGGCATTATGAGTTACTTCACCATCATACGCCACGTAATTGATTTTACATATAGTTGACAAAGACGACTGCTTTCAGGTTCCTATTTCAGAAGGCCATGGGAATCCAGTTACGAGGAGGTGTGGCTGTTCACTCTTCAAGATGACCCGAAGAAGTAAAAACTTGCCATTGCAGTCCTCCCTTGCAGGTACACGCATATTCGTGGTATTTTGACACTTGAACAGTATTTTACGCGATAGCCACTTTGCAGATGTGAGGATGGCTGCGGCTGCAAATGGTGTCATTCCAGTCATCTATCCAACTAACGACGCAGTTCTCCTGGCCTCTAGCGTTGTTGGGTTCGCCAGTGTGCCAAGCGGTGTAGTCAAACTGTGTGCCATCTGCCCAGACAAAATCGTCGTGTACTTTTGAAGCCCCAAGCCATAACGCTGAATGGGGTGGCCGAGCCGATGTCTTCCACATCGTCATCAGGAACTTGTATTCGGCTTGGCTGTGGACTGACGCAAGGTGACTTTGGCCGTAACGCGTGAAGAATTCCTGGCAGTGGTCTTCAGAGGCCTGCCATGTCGTATTGTGGCCCATGAAGCGGTAGCAGTTATTCTGAAAACGAGTCCAGAACGGTGGGCATTCGTCGGCTTGGGTCATTCCGAGGATAATAACCAAAGACAGGAAGGAAAGTCGCAACCAGAGAGCCATCGTGACGTTGGACTCTTCATTCAAACTCAGTGCAAATTGAAGGCCTTCTCAAGGAGCATCGTTCTTATACCATAGTCTCGGTTAATCGACATGCTGTCTTGCGTTGTGATTAGTTAGACCACAGTCGTAGGAGGTGCTTGGCTGCTTTTGGTACCGCCCCAACACCAATATTTTATATTTCTACATGAAGAAAAGCATGTGCCTATTTAGTCGCCATATCAGATAATATGTGTGATTTGAATACAAAGACTTTTTCTGCGTTTCTACGAATGGCCGCTGTTGCCATAGTGTACGTTATTGTTCAAAGGTGAAGTGGAATTCTCGTTTCAATGAGATAATAGTTTTTCAACGTTCTTTCAAAATATATAATTGATACATTCGGTTATTTTAGAAGCATTCTTTTCAACCAATTTGCGGGGGGGGGAACTAACGAAGTATGTGTCGTTAAGTTTGTTTCGTAGACAGCGTTTTCACGCATGTTTGTTTTTACGAAATTAAATTTTTTTTCCTTTGGTTTCAGAAAATGTATATTTTAAAAGTTTCATAAAAAAGTAAACTGGGGGCGTACGCATCTATGAGAGTCACACCATGCAGATCGCTATAATGCCGCGCTTACTAGGGCCGAATGCCCGGCCCGGTAACACCCGAGGGCACACAGTTTTTATACCCAGCAAGAAATGAGACCGAGGGGTACCCCCCCCCAACACGTCCAGTCCCCATACACATTCCAGACTATTGTTACTTAACACATCCCCCAAGATGTCTGACAGGAATTCCCTAGATTCCTGCGAGACAATGACCAACACAAAGCGGGGGGGGGGTTCTCTCCGTCGCACACCTTGCTGCATATGTAGTTTTTAGAGGGGGCATGTACTGCAAGAGAATAGGCTGCAGCTGCAAAGCTCTATAAACTCAACGGAGAGTATTCATGGTTTCATATGGGGTGGGGAACACCTGGAGGGACAGGGGCATCCTCTCGCTGGGTCTGCCCCCGTTCACCCCCCCCCCCAAAGTCACGCCACTGCTTTTTGCATTATGATACGGCATTGTGCACAGTATTCGGAATTTGATGAAAATATGTCTTGTAAAAACAAAGTTCCTTTCGGCCAGAAAATTTCACAAAATGGACCCAGAGTTGTTCTTGTTTCGTTTAACAGCGACAAGACTTAAAGACTGCAGATAGAAGGTCGACCCCCCCCCCGTTCTGAGATCCCAAAAAGTAAAAAAAAAGACAAATCGTAAAAACTAAAGTAGGCTAAGTGCACCAATACCCTTGTAAACAATGTACTTCATGGTATGTAATATAATGTTTCATTGTCGTTTCCGCTTTTCCACAAAAATGACACATGAAAAAAATCTCTGCTCAGAACCCCCGACCCCCCAAAATACTTGGATCAACCCCTAGACAGTTAGTGTTTGTCGGGGAACAAGATTACGGCTACCCTAAACTGAAGAATGCTATGCATCACAGGTGCTTTTTTATCACCGATGATCTCGAGGCCAGACATCAAGAGAAAAATAAGGTGAAATTCTTTCAGATTTTAAGTAGGTCTAAAACCATAATAGGTCGAAGGGAAGTCGGTTGGGGAACACCCGTGAGATAGGGGCATCTATTTGCAGTCTGTTTCAGTGTTTGTAGCTGCAGGAGTTACCCGTGCATGTAGTCACGATGGACACCGCGCGTTTATATTTTAGACAACATTATTTCCAGAAAAAAAACAACAACAAGAAGTGAGGGTAAAAAAAGGCGCGTCGCCGCACCATTTTGGAACCAGATCCTGACTAGAAGCCGGAGACTTTTTTTGGCCTAAGGAAGATTACTTTATGACTTTGAACTTTCTTGACCCCAATAAGTGCAAATCAGGTTTGTTGGTTAATGTTTATGTTACACTGTAAAAAACGTTGGTCAAAACAGTGTTGGCCATTTGTTATTTCCGTCAACCTTGGTTAAAGCTACCACATTGTTCGTCAAATTTCCGTCACAGTTGGTCAAACATTGACCAATTGGGAAGAATTTGCCCAAAGGTTGCTAAATTGATATTTTTTACCAACATTGGCCAAAATATCTACCCAAAATTGACCAACCTTTTTACAGTGCGTAGACTATACATCGTGGCATTTCTGCCTATAACTGCGAAAAATTCATTGATGTGTTTTGTTAATGCAAATGGCCCATTTTGGTACAGAGACAACTTACGGTGTCCATCATGCCATTTTCACGCCCAGTGTTATGATCCGAAAACTCCAAACTATTTAAAAACAGTATTTATTCCAAAGCTTGAATTTCCTCCGATGCAATAAAGAAATCAAAGAAGATTGCACTGATATCAGGAACAAATAAACAAGTATGACTTAAATGAGAATGTAACACTAAGCCTGTAAATCGTACGGATAACAAAGAAAATTCCGTCTGGAACTAGTTTACAATGATAAGGTTAATAAAGAATCAAGATAAGATCTTATTTATACAAGATGATCTTACGAGTGAGAGCTTGGCGGGCACTACGGTGAAGAATGCTGGACTCCCCACATGGCTGGACCCCCCACGTGGCAGTTCAGTCCTTGACAGTAAAAAAAAAAGCTGCATTGGGGGCAAAGACCACGTTGAATAAGAATGACCGGGCTCGAGACGAAACGGCGAGGGCGTGATGACCGTCGCAAATACGGGAACTTGATGCTCCCACAAACTGGAACTGGATTCAGTCCACAAACTGTCTCTTACAGAAAAAAAATTAAGCTCTGCACTTCACTTGGTCTGGACGAACTTTTCTGACAAGCGTCGCTCCCGCACAGACGACTCGCCACCACAGGTTGAAATGGTGCAGAAGTCAACAGGTCAACGACATTTCCCCCATCAGGAAAGTCAGAAAAAGAGGTTTTAACATAAACCCTATCATCAAAACGTACTCCTTGCAAATTAGCAAACACAATGTATAAGTCAAATTAAAACTCTTACTTGTTAGATACAGAAATACACTGTCAGAAAAGATCTAAACTCTGGACAGAGCATCGGCAATAACATTGTTCCTTCCGGTAGGGTGGACAATATTGACTGGATAAGGTTGCAAAATCAATCTCCATCGATAGAATCTTCGCTGGGTTCTAAGCTTGGTCATCAGCTTCTCCAAAAACACAATTAAGTGGGTTGTTATCAGTATCAGTGATCGTTTCACCGGCACTCGTAATGTACACTTCAAAGTGTTGCAAGGCAAGAATTAAGCCTAATGCCTCCTTTTCAATTGTGGAATATTTTGCTTGGTGTTTATTTAACTTCTTCGAGAAGTAACTGATCGGTCGTTCGACGCCTGACTGGTCATCTTGGAGCAAAATTGCTCCGACACCAACGTCACTGGCGTCAATGGCTATTTTGAAGGCCTTGTCAAACTTGGGCCCAGCCAGAACTGGTTCCTTTGTTAAGATTGTCTTCAATTTCTCAACTGCTTTTTGGCACTGAGTCAGACCAAACAAACTTTACATTCTTCTACAAGTGTCAGAGGAGTAGCAATGGTGCTGAAAACTAGCCAACTGTGGTAAATATCTGAACTTCAAAAAAGCGGGAAAAATACTCACGAGTCTTCTCAGGTATTCGAGACGCACGTCAAGTTAAAGCCCATTTTATGTTTGTTCATTTTCTTTTCAAATTGCCATTCATTAACCGATGACTTTTGAAGATATTTTTTCCCACGGAAGGTCACCCCCTAAAAGGCAGTTGTGAAGCTCCTAGCCTCCCAGTAAGGTTAATGACTTTGTTATCTCCTTAATATGAACAGTGAGAAGCAATGACCCTGAGATGGCCGAGTGGTTAAGCTCGCGGTCTTGAAATCGTTAGACGCTGGGTTCGATTCCCAGAGGAGTTCGCCTTTTATTTTCCCAACGCTTGCTGTCAGTCAGTAGCTATAAGAGACGCCAATTCACCCCCGTCAAATACCAGCAGTAC